TTTCAAGTGAATTTGCAGCTTCTAAGTAACCGCGGTACTCGAAGCACTACAATCATCATCTCGAATTCACTAGAATGAGGGCTTTATCGTGCACAAAACCCTGCATTGGTTTCTCAGGCAGCGGTGGCCACTGGCGAAGTCAGGGAGAGTCTGTGTGTGGGAGAGAGATGATGGCAGCTGCGTTTACGTGTTTACGTTGTGTGTGATTGGTGTGTAGCATAAGCGATCTCCCAGGCCCGGTTCCTTAGGAGAGGGGAGAAATCTTGGCAAAGCCAGATTGATGGGAAGAGTATATTCTGTACAGAACGAATAGGAGAATAGGTAGTATAAAACCGACTACCAGACCACAGCGAGCCAGCGAACGGCGTCTGCTCGGCTATCGTCACATGATGTCCTGTTTGAGTCGGTCTGTGATTAACTATTACAGAGGTCGGAAGCAGCAATCATTCCTAAAGTACTTTACGCAAAGATTTGAGGTCCAGATATCTTATCGTTTTCATCATCCCCCAAATAAGACGAAGAAGAAGGTTCAAGGACATGGACCGATTTATATTGGGACTGAGGTTTCTGATACTCACTTGTTTCCATCGTCAGGGTAACGTGGGGGCTGTTCCTGTTTGCCGGGACTGTTTCAGCCTCGCTGCATGCCTGTTATTATATCCGTGCTCCGCGCACGAACTTTGACTTGCTTGTTCGCTGCTGACTGTCCGTGAGATTCACCGCCCGGGGGCTCGCGTGACTTTTGTGCCCTGTGCGGCTGTCGTAATTGTTGGGAATTCAGTGCGCTTACTGGCCTTTTCTTCGTCCACCGACAGATTAATCACTTGTTGCTGCCCGCATGAGTTCATATTAAACTCGTGTGCGCGGTAGCGGTGAGGTAGCGTTCGAAGCTGGTCACCTGGTCCCTGGCCAACCCCTCTCCTATCTTCCTCTGATCTCAGTTGTACTCCACGCTTGTGTCTGCTTGACCGTTATGTTGGCCTTGTTCGAACTGACTCGAGCCGTTCGCGTACCGCCTGGTAAGCAGGATGAAGGTCCATGGCTCTGTTAAGTGTGCCAGTCGAAGACCAACGTTTCAGCAGAAGCCTAGCCATCTTGTCATTGGATCGGCCTATTAACCTTGCATTGTCGAAGGCGAAGGTGTGATTCTTCTGCCATACGTGTTCATAGACCATAGACAGCTTATCCTCGTGGTTGATTGCGAGCTGATGCTGATGCAACCTGGTGCCAAGGCGTCTGCCCGTTTCACCGACACAGCTTGCATCACAGTCTTGGCATGGTATATTGTAGACCACGGCTGACCGTTCTGTCGACGGTAGCTAGTCTTTGGGCCACATAATCTGCTGTCTGATGGTTGATTCCGGCCTGTGAGTTACACCGATCCCGAATGGCTTCAGGATTCTTGCTGTCGCCTCGGATACGTTCTTCACATAAGGGATAGCGAGCCAAAACTCGGGGCCTTCTCCTTACGACCGCTCAAGGTGTGGCTTCTTGAGGCACTTGCGTATGAAGGACTTTGGATAACCGTTGGCTTCAAAGAGCGCAT